CCTCAGCCCATTGATTCAGCCTGTATTTTCACTCTACATAAAAACATTATTCTTTTCTCCCCTTGACTTTTTACAATGCAAGGATAAAAACTGGCTTCCAAATGGAAAAGACAAAAGCAGCTACTTACAAAACAGCAAGGTGCACTTCAGTTTGAATTTTATCAGCATCTGATATTTTTTTTTACACTGGGCATTTTCATTTGTTGTAATCCTACAGTATCTATTACTGGTTCAGTTTCCTCACAATAAAACTTGGGATAGCTACAGACTCTAATGCACAGCACAGAAAAAATTCCTGTAATTTTCCCAGCCCTCTTCTCTTTCTTTGGTATTTTCAGACTTCTGTAGTGTGGCACAACTCAGGGTAGTGAATGTCTTTCTAACAAACTACTTTAAGCAATGCTGTATGTCCTGCCTCTTCTGAATCTCACTAGCATGGTAATGGAGTTCAGTGAAAGTCTTGCTTTCTGTCATGTTAAAATGCTGATGATGTACTCGTGACATTAAACATCTGAGACATACGGATGGTTTAATTGCTTGTGCATCCAGTGCAGACATGCATGGAGACTGCTGCACACCAAGACTTGCTTTGGGTGGTTTTGGCACAGCGGCCATGATTTACAGGTGTATCTGACATGCCAGATATTCAACATGCAACCCATTTTTGTCCTTTCCACTCAGCAGACGACTTCTATCACTTTTACACTTTCTGTTCTTATACAAGTACCATATGAGCTCATGAAAATCACATGCTTTTTTAAAATTTATTTTGTGCACATCTTCGTATTTAGTAGCAATTACTACGACAAAGGGGTCTGCACAGTACATTGCCTGTGCAAAACATCTATGGCCTTTGAAAGAGGAGTAGATCTAAATCTATGTATCTGTGACTATGAACTGACGTAGCAGCTCCTTCTTTACTTCCTGTTTTCTCCAGTATACATGGCTTAACCTGCTTTTATACCTACAGCTTCATTTAAAAAAAAACCAAAAACAAACCTCAGTCCCGGCATAGTAAAACAGTCTTGTTCAATAAATCAGGTCAGTATGTGCTCATATCCCATTAGAGACAATGAAATGTATAGAGGGGTTTTTTTAAACAAAGTTATTTTCACATCGCATTTTAACTCTTCACACTAAAGTTTCTCTAGCAGTCCTCTTTACATTTGTTTTAAGAAACAGAACTCCAAGTAATAAGCAATTATTTTGGTACTGGAGCAGACTATCATGCTACCTTCCAGATTAAGGCTGCATAGTAAGTTTCTTCATCAAAAGCGTTTGTTCTCTGAAGTTATCACAAAAGAGAGAAGAGAGTAAAGAAGCAGGCAACAGGACAGAGCAGAATGTTTGATCCTAAGAGCAGCTTTCCCTCCAGTCTTTCAGTTCTTGGCAGGCTGTCTCCCTTTTATTTTCCTCTTAGGGCAAAATCAGCTTTTTTTTTATATTAGAAGTGAATACTCTTTAGATTGAACAACCTAATTTCTACATCCAGCAATTGCAGCCTTGTTCCCTTCTTTATTTTTTTTTGCCCAGAGGTCATTGATGAACTTGGTAGGACAGACTGAAATCAGATCTGAAGGATACTTCCCAGTTGCATGTAACTAGGTTAAGTGACTTCTTTGTCCCTCTTCTCCATGCACGGCAGCATTGTGAATCAGTTCTACTACCTGTTACCCTAATGGCCAACTAAGTGCCTTGTTTTATATCATTTACCTAATATACTGTTATCAAGCAAACATCAACATTTTACTTTCTGTGTCTGCTCTCCGTGCATTGCTCTTCAACAACTACATCAATAATTCAAAGTTGGTGCATCTGCTGGACCATAAGAAAGAGAAAAGATATGCCCACACACTCTTGTTCTCCTACATCTCCATCTCTGATGTTACAGAACTGACTGCAAGTACTCTCTTGATTTTAAATCTTAGCCTCATGTGTTTCAATGATTAGAGAGTGGGGGGGGTATTTTGCTTATGCAGTAATCTAAGTTTTGGATCCCACAAAGGCAATCAGGAAAAATCCACATGGCACTGACTGCCTTGATTTCTACATGCAAATTGCTGTGGAGTTTTTGTGGGGTTTTTTGTTTTTGTTTTTAAATCAAGAGGGAAGGAAGAAAAATTCCGTTCTCAATAAAGCTATGGCAACTGTTTCAGTTAAACTGTGCGAGATATAACAGAAGCCTGGGTACATTATTAATGTACCATGGCCTTCAGCTATTCAAAATGTGTGGCATCCTATATGACTACGCTTCAAATCCACAATAGCTTTGGTTCTGGTTTTGTTAATTGATGGGAAACACTATCTTACCATCTCTGCCAATAACCTGTTGTATGACTGTAGCTTAACTATTCTGTTGGTCTCTGGACATCCTTTTCAGTCTATCCCCTTACAAGTTCTTTCATTCAGAGATTCTGTGCCAAAAAACAATGAAATATTATTTACAATAGTTGGAACAGTAGGCTTTAACCTCAGGTTAGGCTTTTTAACTCTCTACTTTAGAAGACTTACTAGAATTGATAGACTAGGACAAGATTACCTTAACCCTGGCTAGTAAATGTACATCATATTCTTTCTACTAAATTGTTCAAATTATCCAAGATTAACAAGATAAGGAACTTCAAATTCCAGACTTACCTGCATCATTGCCAATACAGTCTATTATCAAGCATATTCCTAAAGGCTGACTCTGCATTCTGTACTGATCAAACACCTGAGGAACGTGAAGGACAAATACTAAGTTAATATGTCACTCTCTCAACTTACAGACTTCATTCTTTTCTCAAATTTAACCACTCCACATCTATTCAATTACATTCTGTTGTTTTTCCATAGAGTAGCTAGCGGAGGTCTATCTACTATGATGTAGTATGTCTTATCTACACAATAAAAGCATAAAGTCAGGAGACGTGGAGTAATTATTTTTTTCCTATTTCTAGTGCAGGCTTAATTTTTGCATTTTGTGTTATGCAATCTTACTACCATAATGATCCTTAAACTAAGACTAAGACTGTACCAGAAATGAGAAGCAAGTTTGAGACTGCACCTCAACTCTGGACAGATCTTCAAAAGTTGGGGAAAAAAAAAAAAAAAGCAAGGAGCAGCTGTGTGGGGTGCAGGGGCTTTTTCAAGATCTGGACTACGACAGTATGGCAGTGATGATTTTTCTATAGTACTTCCAAATTAATCTCTTGAAGTGTAACTGCCATTGAGATGTTGGGACCTCTAAGCTTCATATTGGCAACACAATAAACGCAGAGAACTTTTCTGTTCTTCAGGTGTGCAAGCAGGCACTGCTGATCAGAACAACATTTACTTCCTTATTTATTGGAATAACCTCCTTGCTTTAAATAACCTGTAATAACTCTGTCGCAATTCCTCTCCCCTTTGAAAAGATTATAAACAATTTGCTGTAGGTAAATCCCTGGTTCCTAGCCTATAGGAGAGCTAGTGAAAATAGCAGTAGTCCATTCTTAACATTAATACCCAAAGCATGTCTGTCTTCTACCTGGATAGCAAGGGGCAGGGAGAATAAAGAACAAAATTTATTGCATGCAATTTCTAATGCAGATGGCAAGAGATCTAACTTTTAACAGGTTTTGACTTAGCCTCCACTAATAAATATGCAAGTTCTGTGTGCACATGTACATGCATTTTGCACACTGCTGCTTCCAGAGTGGCAGCAAATAATTTGTATTAAAAATATATTCTGCAAAAGCAATTCACAGAACCTGTTTATGGCTGAGGAAGGTATGAATATACACACTGTTCTGTTTGCATGCGATTAAAGGAAATTTCAAAGTGAAACACAAAGAAAACCAACGTGAATCTCTGCAGAGTTTTTTATTGTATTTACATGCATACATATGCACAAGCACATACCTTATGTGATACTGGTCCTGATTCCTGAATGGACATGTAGACTGGTTCTGCTGCAGTTAAAACATATGGAAGTAATCTCAGTATGTAGGTACCAGTGATATTTCTTTGCCATCAAATCAATTAGAGAGGAACCTATCTACTTCAGCCAAGTGCTCACTCATCTGGACCTCTCAGTTTCTATTTATGCTCTTGAAGTTAAAAAAAACCAACCAAACAAAAAAGACCCAAACAAAATTGTCACCTCTAAAATGCTATTTGGATTGCATTCTACATTACTTGTGAGTAGAACAAACAAACAATCTCTCCAACACTGAGAGAGTTCAGCTAACTACTCTTAAAAATCACCATATTTGAGAGGTATTTTGTGTTTCCAGAAAGAACATAACACACACGGTAAGAACCCGATACTCACTGAACTCCCTGGCTGGCCTGGTGTAGAGTCTGCCACTGAACTGACACAAAAACTTTCTACTCAGGACTTAATGGACACAGCTGTACTATATGGGCCTCCAGAGCCAGTTAGTCAACCTTTTCCATGTTTTTATTACTAAACTATTCCATTGAAAAGTTGCGACAGTGGAAGCCCACAACAATTTCAATAAAGTTTTAAAGATCTGGCAGCACAAGCAAAGCAAACGTAAGAACAAACAATAAGGCAAGGCTCAGTTTTCAGATGTGCCAAACACTCTCTGCTCCTGGTGTTATCAACTAGATTAGCCATAAACACAACTATCAAACAACACTTTTTATACAACAAAATTCACAATCTGGCTCTTTTAGATGATCAAAACTCAGATAAAATGCTCTTACCCAGAATAATACTTTGTCCATTTTGTGATTTTTCTTTGTTCACATTCTGGATCTAAAATGAAGAAAAAGATGTATTTTCCCTCTCTCCTTCAAGAATTAATAATCACGTATTCCAAAACATAACACAATAGTATTTTTCTTCCTCAATAAAAGGATTAAATATTTTAAAGGGGATCTTTCTCAGTCAGAAGATTGAAATCAGATCCTAAACCCAGCAAATAACACGAATAAGAGAAGTACACCAAGTAATATTTTAGTTACTAGCAATCTCTTATTCCTTAGTCTCTGCCAAGATTAATCCCCTTTCAATGTCTGGCAGTATTTAGAAATAAAGGATCTGTCTGATTTATTGTATACTTACCCCTGAATTATAAGGAGGATCAATCAGACTGAGGTTAGGGAGAGATGCCTGAAGTGCATTTACATATACTGGCTGAGAATGAACGGAGGGCATTAAAGCTGAAAATTTAACAGAAACACACAGAGAAATACACCATATATCAGCTGTTTTAAAAGCCTAAATCTGTGAGGCATGCAAATACGCTGATTTGTAAATTTAATTTTATCTTCAGTAAAAGCACTTCTGGTCCTTGCTATCAAGAGTAACCAGTGCAAAAATAGCATCTTACTTTCGTGTTTGTACTTCTGAATCTTCCTTATCAGGTCGATCCTGTGAATATTTCGAAAACAACTTTCCATCAAATCCAGTTGATTAGGAGCCACCAAATTTAGTTTCTCCAGGTCAATCACAAGAGCTAGAAAACTCTAGAATAGCAACAGAAAAGCAACACGTCAGACCAGTAATTTGTTCTCTATCGGGAAGTAAAAAAAGCAACCCAGAAAATAATGTAGGGAGGTCATAAAGGTTGTATATTCAAGAATTAGGGACATTACTTTCTGAAACACTAAGAAAATTACTTGGCATATGTAAGAATTCTTGGTATTATCACAGGAGTAATTGAAACTAGCTACTTCCCTTTTTACTTTAATCTCTCATTGTTCCAGAGAAGACCAAGAGAAAGACATACCTTATCTTTTGCCATTTTCATACGAGGTGCATAGTCTCTGAGTAGAAAAACAAGGGAACCCACTTCTTCTTTTTCCAGGTTCTCACTAATCTCTACCATTAGTACCCTGAAATAAAGTTCAGACATTTCTAAAGGATTAGCTTTCAGCAAGATCTTACCGTTGCCCAACTGCACAACTTCTCCTATGTTCCTGTCTTAATGTACCATTCCCAACTAAACAACAGGAAAAAAAGTTTACCCTGCTCCAAAATTACTCAGACTGATTCTGTAATAGCCACTGCTAGGAAAACAGAAGTCTCCTTAATATTTCAGTAGAAATGAAGTGAGAGAATGAGACAACACCACATCTTTAACTTTTTTACCTAGTAGTTACAGGGTTTTTATTTCACTGAGATGTTAATACAGGAAAATCTTCCTTGAGTACATGTACGTATTCTCTGAAGTCTCTCAAAGAAAATAACCGGAGTTTCTTGATTTAGGCCTCTTAAAACTAGAGTGAAAAGTAGTAAGAGACATGTCCTCTGAGAAAAGCTATACCACAAGGCTATGTGCCCAAAGCAAACTAGAAAAGAGAGTATCTCTAACAAATGATGTCCCTCTACGGCATCATCTCTATCTGCTAATCTAGAGCTGTACAGATGTCACTGATGAACAGACACAAACTCCTTAAAGACAGATGCTTTTAATGCTGTGACTTGTAAGAAGCTACTAAGGCTTATTTTAGGGACTAAACTTGACATATTCTCTCCACCGTAACTCTAGATACAACACCCTTTTTTGCTTTTACCTTCAGGACAAACCTACAAAACACCCCACCAAAACAACTCACAACTCTTCTGAACAAAATAGAGTAGCCCTGAAATCTGAAATAGATATATTACCTGTAATCAGGGACAAGTCTGAGACTCCTGTCAAGGTTAGCTTCCACTGTTGCTTTCTCAGTCTTCAAGATCCTCCTCAGCAAGTCAAACCTCTTAATTCTGTACAACAGCTCAGACAAGCCAAGAAAAGACAATTTCTCCCTCTCATTCAAAGCCATCAAGAGCTCTCTAAGGTCAGCAGTGGCCAAGTCAGGAGCAAGGTCTCGGCATAGGAAAACCATAATCTCTTCTTCTTCTTTATCCAATTCTTCTTCAATCTGGTGAATAAGGACAGCTGGCACTTGGCACCTGGTCATCACTTTGTTGCTGTCCCTTTAAAATTGCCAGCCTACTGTTTTTTAAACAGGAAGCCAACAAGACATGAAGCCCATGTCTACCACAGCTCTTCTTTGGTGTTCATTCTTAACTAGATGCATTTTTACGTGAGCAGTTCTGCGGGAGAGAATTAAAAGATACTAAATCAGTGATCTGCTGCACAGGCTCACAGATAATGCTCCTATCTGGTGTATTTCACTTACAACTAAAGCACCAACGTAGTCTACACAGACGTCCTGTTCTCAAGGGGCTCTCCCAGCTGTTCATTACAGAACAAAAACTACTTGGTAGATCACACTAATCAGAAACAAATGAAGTTCTTTTTAAAGGAAAATTACCTTAACACAAGTCTGTAAATTCCATAGGAAGTGAAACAAAAGTCATCAGCTTGCTGATATTTCAAGTGTTGCAGGAAATAAGAATTAAGTTCCACAGTAATTGAAGTCTAAAGCTCTGACCTTTTCCCAGCAACCCTCCACTCCCCTGCTCACCATCATCTTTTCTCCCCTCAAAGTCTCAAGGCATTTTTAAGGAAGAGTTTTGGAAGCTAAGAGGTAGTGTAAGCACATTTGTAGACAAAAGGATTTTAAAACGCCTGCATACCAAAACACAGCTATCAGGCACACACTTTGCCTTAAATGAAGTCAAAATACATGAAAAATTCACAATATAATATGTAATACTTTGAAACACTTATTATCTATAGATTCAGGAATGTGTGGATTTTCTTACTTTTTAGCATAATTTAAAGTGACTCCAATTTGAATGAGTTACTGGGGTTTTAAGGATTTCCCACACGCATCCTCCATGGTCAGAAAGATTGACGAACCACACAAAGAAAAAACTCCAACCTTAAATACGCAAATTGGTTAACTCTGAAGGTAGAGAGAAGCCATAGACTGCCTTTTTCTTCATGTGACATTAATGTTTCACCGTACTGAAACCTGAAATAAGAAGTCAAACCTAGAAAAACTCCCATCTTTGTGATTAACAAAGTAGGGTGCTATGCTCAATTTCTGCTGCCACTAACCGTGGAAATTCTATCTAACTTTCTCTCATCCCCACTACCTACAGGGAGAATGGTGAAATGAGCAATCTAAAGACCAATCTTAGACCTTACAAGGAGTTCAGTCACTATGCTGCATAGTTTTGTTTAAACCATTCTGAAGAGCGAAAGCCAATTCGACTTCAAAGCTTAATACACTGCAAGATTCTAGCACCTGGGTAACATTCTTAAAGCATTTTGAAACTGTTGTTACCAACTAGGGAAGTCACAATCAACAACGTCACACATTATGTCCATGCATTAAGAAGATGAGAGGAAGTTTTTTACAAATGTACAAGCTTTTTTTTTATTCCAATGCTATTTTAATGAAAAATAACTCTATATATTCACCTGACTTTTCTTAGAGAGGGAGTAAGAGTTGGATTTGATTACACCCATGGATTGGGTTCCACTGCTCACTAAAAGTGCATACAAAATTCAAGTTCCTAGGGCAAGGTCTCCTTCATCTACATCTATCCCAGGGAGCTACATTTGCTATGGAGTCAAGATTGCAGTGGCTTTCTCCTCCGACACTGTTGCTAACAGTCACAGTAAGAAGCCATCAGTAGTTAAAGAACAAAAAGGCAAAAAAAAAGCACTTTAAAAAAAAAGAAAGCACTGTTAATCTTGTTGCTAGCATGTATGAATCACTAGGGGATTATAACACAAGTAGCTGCTGTGACCTCAAGGTCCCACATTCAAAAGGTAGAGGAAGGGCAGCACAGGCAAGTTGTAAAATACCAAAAACCCACCACATTGAAAGACTCAAGCATTACTCAGCTTAAGTACTCCTGCACTTCCATACCACAGTATAAATTAGATCTCATCTATATGCAACAGAGTCCTCAAAATGGCACTGAGGCCACTTGGCCTCATTTTGAGAAGCACAGAGCATTCAACTGCAAGCTGACGGTGACAAGGCTGCAGATGCCCTGCTCAGCCCATTGCAGCCTCCGATGTGCATCCTGCAGACCGTGCTAAATACCTAGAGAAAATGCACAGTGATAGTACTGCTACAGCACACAACACATCCTCTCCGATCGAGTTCTGTTCTTCTGAACCCAGAAAGGACAGGCACAAACACAGCGTCTTCCCTCATCACATCACACCATTTAGAAACTTGAGAGAATTAGATGCACAGTTTGCTCTAAGAAGTGCAACATTTAACCTTAATGTAAACAGTGCAAACAGCAAAAAAACCTCACAAACAGAAATGAAACAACAGGTAGAAGCTGCTCCTTTCAAATACCCAGGACTACGGTATTTTTTATACAGAAAGCTGAAAAGTTTTGTTTCCAACAAAACCAAACTGGGTAGACAACATATTTGTACTTTGGAACCGGGTCTGTTTCACACACGGACCTGCAATGCTATCACTTGAACAACTGGGGGGGAAGGGCACAGTGGGAAAATTTTCAGGCCTCTTGATAAGCAGAGGAAGCCCTTATGCACTGCAATGTGTCTGCACAGTTTTCTGTCAGAGGAAAAAGCGTATTTATTGCTAACTTCTTTTCAATCTAGCATCAAACATTTGTGAGAATTCTACAGATAAACAAAGATAGTTTTCATGACATAATGCAGCCAAGAAGGGGGAGGCACAAAATACTCTCCCATATGAAAACATCTCCCAGGTACATTCAGCTGGGACTTTGAAAAGAGCTTGAGGAAGTCATATTTATGACCCACGCTAAAGAGAGATGGGAATTTAACAACTTTTGGTAATTTTCAGAAATATCAGATAAAACTTTTTTTTTTAAAAAACTACTCTAGTTGATTTTTATGTGAACTTTTAAAACTAGCTTAAAAAAGAGGTGTTCGTGTGTATGTGTGTGGTAGGGAGGAATTTCCCACAGAGTTAAAATTTCAGACATGCAAAATCACAATTTAGATGTTATCTTAAAAATAATCTGCCTTTAATAAACACATATGAATTATTTATTTTTGTGAACTTCCTTTACATTAGGTAAATTGTATGCTTATTATAAAAAAATGGTGATGACTACTTTCCGTGTTAGAACTCTCTTACCTGTATGCAAGTTTGTCCACAAGAACACTGGAAGACTGGCATCTGACCATTGCCAAATCACTGATCCAAATCCAGCACACACTGGTTTCCATCCAGTATTTTTCAATGATGGTCCATAGACAAAATTGATTACATCAGTTCATTTTCTGTTGGACAGACATCAATGTCACAGATCACTGCCGGAGGCTATTTCCTA